TGCATCCCACGGGAACGCGTTGTCCCTTTTGTTCCTGTCGATCGCTACCTACAGCTGCATTCAAGAAGCCTCGTTAATACCAACCGATGACTGCTCTCTACACGAATATCTATCGTCCGATATAACATTTTGATATCCAATGGTAATAAACTTAATATTTTATCGTACATCTTTCTAATGCGAGCCGTTTAACATTTGTTACACATTCGCGCTTCGCCTTATCGTACGGTTGCTGCTCATCGAGGCGTGGTTTAGCTGCCCGGGGCAAACGATCGTTCCTGGTAATAAAATAACTACCTGAATTGCCCAGATCTCCTATAGAGCCATAAGGAACGCCATTTACGAGAATCACTGTTATCACTGACCTAGAGAGGGCAGTACGACGATATTGGGTGTCAATACGAAGGGCTGTAATGTAAAGAGGGGGCGATAATTTATAAACGTTGAAAGCAGCAGCTTAAACGCGTGTCGAGCTACGATTTTACTTCCGTATTGGCTTGTTCTAGGTCAATGGTGATTCACAACTATTAGGCTGAATTCTCGGAGTGGTGCGATACTTTAGACCGTTGATAGTAGGTCGCACACGCTCTTCCACAAACTTTTCTCGCATTTGCCCGCATCCAGTTTATTCAAATTTCCACGCACGTGCATAGGCATTTATGCAACGAATACGTATGCAGGCGAAATAGAATGCCGGTTGGTAAGTTGAAAGATGCATCCCGGGGATGAAACGGGAGAAATTCTAAGGAGGTCACGGAGCTGCTGAATTTCCGTATCTAATTTCGAATAAATGTCCCACTATCGGGCTCGCCGAGTGCTTCTTTTAATTTCAGATTCTACGCGGAATCCTCTGTCTCTCTGCTTCGTTCTCGAAAAGTGAATTCGACGACGTTAACGAACGATGACAGGAAAACGCTTGCGAGACGTTGCTTTAAATTATAGTGTACGAAAACGTCACCGTTAGATTATCAGCATACAAGCATTCTGTCAACTTTTGTAGTCGTCTAAGTATCCCTGCGCTCAACGCGGAACCGACTTCTCCGTTCAAGTGCGATTTGTAATTAAGAAGTAATCAAGGACGCACGAGACGCTTCACTCTTGGTTATTTGCATGGAAACTTTCGATCAACGGTGTATATAGGTGAAGGAGAATCGTTGGAGTATCCGGTTGTAGGTAGATCGGGTGAAGTGCAGTTGCAGCTGCACGTATGCAAGTGCACGAACGGTACGTGCGGCGTATGTTGATGGGGTTGCGGTTTGACTCCGGTGGCTGTTGGATAGCCCGCCGTTATTATCCGTAACTCGTGTTGCGGCAGTCCCGGAACAAACGTGGCCGAAAACCTTCGTTTCCTGCCGTACCTCCATCGTCAGCTTTCCTCTCTTTTCTACGTCCCTCCGCAATCCACGGAGCCAAGAAATATTCGTCACTGTCCAGCGGTAGATCGTTAACGTTGTCACTCGCGTCGACCAGCTTTCTGTGGCTACGTTTAATCGATTACATTTCTTCCTCTCTTTGCCATTTCTCTACCGATTTTTCGTTAAACGACAAATTCTGCGCATCGTACAATTTCTAAGTTTCGCGAGAATTTGAAAAGACGAATTTAAGCATACGAATCAACGTTTATGACCACTCCGTGGGTGCCAGAAGGAAATCTCGCTGAAGCGGCGCGCGAAAAACCGCTTTCAGAATCTAAATATTCCGGGAACAGAGGTAAGAGCATCCTCTCGTAGTTCGGCCGGTTCAACGTGGAAAATTTAAAAGTTTTCACAAGCTACGTACGTCGAAACTTCCGGAAATAAGAATTTTATAGATTATACGGTAGAGGCGGGAAATACCGTGTTGCTCGGTGCAGACGAAAAGTTTTTAAAATATTTCAAGAATGCGCTATCGTGTCATTTCCAAACTACAATGGGCATACGTGCGGAACCCTTGAACGTTTCTTGCATTAATATTGAACACGCTCGGGACTATTGAAAACCGATTATACCGGTGAAACACGCTTCGACCCTTCGTTCTTACCACCACTTTATCGTTCGAGACACTCTTGTTCTCCAGAACAGTGCAATTTGATTAACCGTTTTCAATATACGAATATTTGATAATTTTTATTTATCGTAGTTGTAGAAATGTTTCCATTTATAAAGTATGCGAAAAAATTTCAACGCTGATAATTAAATGCAAGCAACCTAACATCCCCGTATTCGTGGAGGACCCTTATCACCTTTCGTCGAATCCATAGGAAGAGCTGATAAAAGGTGAAGCATGGCAGCATCGAAGAGTATTCTGGGACGAGGAAACTCGTGTTCCCGGTTGCTTTAGGCCGGGTTCTCAGATACTCGCGAAAAACCTTTGGCCCTTCAACGAGAACGACCGGATTACCGTTTTTGGCTTTCATCGTCACCAGAGTGGTTCCCCTCCTACTTTTATACTATATATCCTCGCGTGAAATTCGTTCTTGATCCCGGGAGATGTGATAGAAAAATGAACCGATATCCCCAACCTTCCTTCGCTCCGTCGGAAAAATTCCACGACGTTTTATTAAGAAAATACTCGAGCTCTCCCAACGAGATTCTTATCGATACAACGGTGCCAAAGAGATACGTTATTAGTTAAGCGAAGAATCAGTGTGGTATTTTATGATGAAGGAAAATATTTCCGCCTCGCCAAAGACAATCAATTTTCCTTGAATTCTTCAATTGTAACTCGTCTTTGGATCAATATTCGAAAGAACACCGAGGAGCACGGAATGTTTAACCTGAGTAAGCGTGAGCTGGGGTATGTCATAACCAGACGAATTTCTTCGAAACGTAATTAATATCGGATCGCGAACCGTCAAAGTGTTAAATAAGAGGGTATTACGAAATCTGGACAAAGGGGTGGCTGTCTGGAAAAAGGAATTCGTCTGATTGTGTGCTGTGGCCATGGTATGTCGGGAATGGTGTATATAGAGTTCGACTGGTGGTGGCTTGGTAGCCGACATCTCGAGAGACAAGGGAACTGTCGCGAAGGATATTTGCGAGACCGTTTCAATCCTGGCCACTGTTGTTCGAGTTTTTATTTCGCGAACAAGGCCAAGCTGGAAAACGGTGTTGGTTACGGGTGCACATAAGAACGTACAATGTATTTTCACCCTATCGGTTGCAGTCCTCTCAGACAGCGTGTCGATATCCTTCTGTCCGGAGCCTTTGACCTCGGAATTGCAGTTCCCTTTTCAACTTCCTTCGATGCCCGTTACTTTGCCGAAACCGTTCTGATTTTCCAGCCGTTCCACGCCTATGCCGTCGCGTGGTAACGGCTCGTATTTCCATGGAAAAGTTCAACCCCGATTAATAAACATATTATGTAAAACATCTCGAACGCAGCCGGGTTGGAAGTTGTTAAAGTTGTGATTGAGGTACGTAAAGTTTCTTTTTTGCATACTTAATAACAACGTAGCCACCGCCATTTAATTGCTGGTTACACGTATCAAGCGTGAAAACAAGTCGGCTTATCCGGTTAGCTCGCCGTTAGTTGGATAGATTTATCTGGCAATTAAGCGATCCTGAGCGCGAGCCGAGCAGGAAAGGAGATTAAGGCGGTGGCAGGGAGATGTAACAGCTTCAATGAGAAATAACGTCGCTTCGTAACGTAGCAATGACAATGACAAAGCTTTCGAATTTTTTCCTTTTTCTTTTCTCTGTTAACGCGTTAAACGCATTAGGTCCCATCAAACTGTTACATTTTCTTGTAACAAAACTTTTCGTCGAAGCTGAATACTTTTTCCCTCCGTTCGATTTCCTAGCTCGTATTGGTAGTAATTCGCATAAGTTCCTTCGCGTTCGACCAAGCTCAAAGATATATATGTACGAGGGAATCCATTATGCGATTGGAGAGTTCAGGTTCGTGAGATGACCCCGTTCGCGAGACGTGCTCGCGTAGCAAGTCGTTTCCAGAACTGACTTCGCTATCTTTCTTGCGCAATAAGCAGCATAAATCACGTTTCCGCGATTCGGATACGAGAGATATATCAATGACAGAGGGTGTACGGTAAAAAAAAAAGGCTGAAAGAGGGAAAAGGACTCGCGAAAGCATGGCAATGTACCAGAAACCCTTCGAGTTTAAGAGATGACACGAATACGACACTGTTAGGTACGTAAGTAACGCAGTGATATTGCAAAAATAAAAATCCTGAACTCTAAAAAGTGCGACTGAATGCGCTTTAAAATCTCGAAAGAAGGGACGAAAGGTGCAATGAAAAGGGCCGCAGGAAGGATACAGAAAAGAGGAAAGAAGAAGCTAGCTTCCAAGAGTATACGGCACTGTTCGAGAGGGTAGCGTTGAAAGAAAGAAAGTGAAACATGGTGAGAAAAAGAGATAGATCCAGCAATGCGGTAGGGAGAGCGAGAGAGGGCCAGAAAAGCACAAAGCAGAGAGAAAGAGAAACCGGTAATACAGAGGGGTAGCGTACAAGTAGCGATGGCTTTGAGAGATTTCCAAACGTACAACTTAAGAAATGAAAAATATTTAAACTCTCCGGGCAAATAATTTCTCTGCGTATCTTCCTTAAAAAATTCACTGAAACTTCGGAAAGATTCCCGAACGTACGAGACAGGGGGATCGACAAGTCTCTTCGAGGGACTTTAAAACTTGCCAAACGCTCGGAGCGATTCGACCGTTCGTACTGGGAAATTGCTCGAGAACTTGTGACAGAGAGAATATCGAATGGCCATCGCTAACCACGTACAAGGATACAGGATGTATCATAATACATGATCACAGGCCACGCTAATACGAAAAAAGTTCATATAAACATTTGTCCAGTTCGACCTTATTTCTGACAATGAGTTAAAGTCGTATGTACATCTTTTATTAATTCTTTAAACAAAGCGAGTACATATATCGTTTGATACGATGGCAATACAAGGTAGTAGAAAAATCAGGATAAAGAAGACAAACATTTATATAGAGCTTTTTTATTATTTATGTGTGCCGAATGTATAATTGAAGTTGTAGGTACTCACGTATTACAGTACACCCTATATAAGGGAGGAAGGCGCGCGCCGAGGGTTGGGAAAGCTGAAGCGTGGCTCCTCCGGGTGGGGGTAGTCAGTACCTCGAACGACTCCATAGGTCTCCAGATCTCCCCGCCGCGCTCAGTCCGACCCGGACGTTTGAGGGAGACGCATCTCTCTTCCGTGACTCGTATGCGCGATACCGGTACCGCACGTTGTGTCCTCGTATTGTAACAACACACACGCACTCGTTATCTTGTTATTGTAAATAATCCGGCACACCACTGAAAGTTCATCTTCGATCGCATATGTACAATTCCGATAGACCGTATACACGAACGCACGCAGGCACGCACACGAATAGTGGTTATTCTCTGGAAGTGTGGCACGTACGGTGACCGCGTTGCACGAGGGTGAGAGGGAAGGAGAGAGAGAGAGAAGAGAGGATACAGGAACACGGGACAAAGAGGGAGAGAAACGCGAAGAAAAAGCTCTCTCTTGCTCTTTCTCTCTCTCTATCTCGACTGCCTTGCCGGCTTTCCACGGCCACGAATCGATACCACGCGACCGTCGCCGCGTCGGTCGTTCCACTCTCTCGACCTCTTCTCAACGTTCGCCACCACGAGTCTACGACCACTCGTTCCCCCGATTTTTTCCCCACTGGACGAGCTTAAACTTAGTGTTAGCTGTCAACCTTTTCTCCTTTAACCTCGACAGGATTCACACCGAGAGATTTACCAACGTTCGTGGCTCGCGTCACTATCGAACTAGATCGAGGAACGAGGAGCGAGATCGAGATCGAAATTCGAGAATCGAAGGCGCTCTGGCGGCCAGTCGATGAAACCCGCCAAAACGGTCGCGTCGTTTCTCTGTCACGTTCGAACGACAGCTCGTCGAGGATAAAAGACGTGAAAAGGTGATTCGGTGTTACTAGTGCGCGTGGATCTAAAGCGAGAATAAAACGTTTCGCGAGAAAAGGAACGTTGCCAGTGTTTTTGTTTTGCCGTCGAGGATGAATCGGTCACCGGATGGATTCCCGGCCAGTGCGTAACCGTGCTGTGTGACACGTGACGGTCAGCGTTTATTTTGGTGTTTCATTTTTCTCGTCTGTTTGGCTAAAGCAACGCTACTACCACCCTGCACGACCATTTCCAGGATCTTCCGCATCGTCGAAGAGTGAGTAAACATATTCAGCCATTTTCTTGCTTTCGTAAACACGATTCGTTAATCCTGTCGCGCCGCGTCGCGTCGTTTCTCCACTAATCCTCAGGTAGAATTCGGTGCTCCGTAAATTACCAGCTTGGCGATCGCCCAACACGGTCCACGCGCTGCTAATTCAACGACTGTACATTTTCATTAGTCCGCGAACTAGGTTAGGTTCGTTAGGTCGAGAATCGTGAAATGCTAACTTCCATAATTCCTTGAAAATCCGTTCGTTGACATCTTGAACGAAATACATATGTACATACAATATGTATAGGAGGCGCAGCGTGCACGCGTCGTTCATTTTCTTTTTTCCTGAACGTTCGGAGCGCGATAGACAAAACGTTTGAACCGTGAGCCGTGTAATTTAGTTTCATCGGAGCAGCAATTGAGCTCGGTTCGGTTAGTTGGCGAACGGAGAAAATTCAAGTGGAAAGCACTGGGTGGAGAGGTCGTATCTCGTTAATCGGTTGTCGCGGTTTTTTATGAAGGTATTTTTATCGCGCATTCTGCCGTCTAAACGAGTCGACAAAGGCCGTGACAGAGCGCCGCCGGCGACTTTGTAGGATCGTTCACACGGCTAGATGTTTTGTTCCGCAACCAAGCAATTAATCGATCGTAAAGAGGCTAATGCGAACGATACACCGGCCACCCGTGCACCCTTCAACATTTGACAAAGGAAAACTATCATATATCCGTGCGGGTGTGTTCTACCTCTTCCCAACGTCTTCTCGAAACTCGCAAAAGACTCGCGAATGAATCAATCTTCTCTCTGTCTTTCCATCTAGAATGGAGCTTAATGTTTAGAAATTTTTGAAAAAAAAAAAAAAAGAAAAAACTCTATCAATCGAAAGAGCAATATCGTGTAAAAGGGCGATTGCGTCATGAGAGTTGCTCACTCGAGGCGGAATTGAAAAATCGATTTCGAGCCGGACCGTTAATAAAAGATTGAACGTCGAACGTTAGACGGAAAAAATATAGGGTAGAGAATCTGTAATTTCGTTCTTGGTGGGATTCTCGAGTTCTCCGACGTCTCATTAGATTTTATCGCGGACCTACCTTCCACGGCTATAGCAGGAGCAAACGGATACTTGAGACTTTATTCTTACCCAGGCTCGAGTCACTGAAAGTTACATACTTTTCGAAAAGTCTCGCCAGATTCTATTGCTTTCGTGAGTACGCGACAAAGTCTTCTCGTAACATTAGTGTGAAATGCGCGAATTGTCCTCCATTATGGTCCAATTTAAATTTTACGCGATAAAGATGATTCACGACGAACACTCTTGGAATATCGTTTAATCCTTTGAATACTAGTCTTGTAATACCCACTCGCAATCGTGATATTAATTATAAGGAAAATGTAGACGATAATTGAGGCAATTCGTATTGAAAATATTCTAAGGGAAATAATTGATGCGTTAAACGAGTAGTCTTTTTATTTGCAAACTTTCCCTCGTTTACCTTTGAAAAGTTATTAAAAGTTATACTTGCATTAAGGGCAGAGGGATATTACGGAAGATGAAGATTTTTAAGTAGACAGAAAAAGCGTCGTAATTTCATGCAAAACTCCATTTACGTTTCGCCACGGTGAATGTTGTTGTTTAATGCACAATACCGTACTCTGCAAGTTAATTAACAAATGCTTCACGAACTCGTACTATGAAATGCGTCTGCATTGTTGAATATTCGTTCTGTTTTTTTTTTGTATGCTATGCAGCATAGAAAAGCAAGGATATAATGCTTTCGTTTTGCAAGGAAAAATAGAAACAAATATAATACGCTTTTTACATATACAAAGGTTTCGTTATACCAGTTAATATTAACAGTTTGACAAATTTTTAGTATTATACTCTCTGTTTTGTAGTATCATGATACTGAAGAGCATTGAAATTGTACATTAAAATGGAACATTAATCTGGAACAAATTTAATTACTAAATTCTGATCCGGTGCATTCATTAAGAAGACGTTGTCAAATTATCGATTAACATTTCAAATAAGCAGATGTAATCCTGTCGAAACTTCCGTTCCAAGAAATTGAATAAGTTATCCCCTGAATTATTTCGAACGCATTTTAAACGCGTTTGCGTCGACGTTATTCTTCTTGCCATCATTCGAAATGACACCTCCAGCCGTGAATGATCGAAAGTTTTCACAGTGGATAGGAGCGATAAAGTGGTAGCGTATTTATTTTTAGTCGGCTGAAGGAAACAATTAAGAGAGGAAGGAACTTTGCCTTATTGTTGGATTCCATCAAGTTTGTTCGCAACTACGCACCGTGATATATAAAGTTTCCTTGCACGGCACCGGTCTGACGGTGTACTTTAGCTGCGCTTAGTACGAGAAGACAATATTGACTCGGTCGTGTTTCCCTAGAGAAGCTGGCAACTTTATTTTCAAGGGCTTCCGTTGATCGGAGAAATCGCTGAATTAAACACCTATGCGATCGTTGCTTCCGTTCTTCTATGAATTCCTTCATACCGAAACACGTATAAAAAGAGTTAGTTAGTGAAAAGGATTAAGATACAAATGATCTCTCGTAGGGTAGAAAGAATAGTACTCATAGAATTTCCTCCGAGGCTTATGAAACTCAATGTTACGATATCTACGCGGAGTTCTCGTTCGTAGCGAACTCTTGCTTCTAAAACTGGGCCACAGATTCTACACGACTAAAGAACGCAGCTTTGTTTTTCGCTTTTACTTTGAAACGAGTTCCTGTTTCCGCTATTATTACCAACAGACCGAAGAAGTACGAAAGCTATAGCTAGATGAAACAACTCCCAAGGAGTTTGACCGTGTTGCTCGTTAAAAACCAACCGATGAACGGATTACTAGGGTTCAGCAACTTCGATCGATCGATTTCTCGCCAATCTTTAGGGAAAGAATCCTCTGATTGAGAGAGAACTAAGGGGTTACAAATTATTTGGCTCCATTTGGATTAGCTTGATTTACGTTGCGTTGGGATTCTAATTAATTAATTAGAAAGTTGATTTTTTTTTAGATTCATTAACGTACAATCACCCTACCCAAGCATTTTGCTACCCTTCTTTTCTCTTTGCTCGGGTCAGTTGGTTTCGCGACGACAGACTCATCTCCGATTTTATGCTTCGTTTGAGAGCGCACCATCTAACCACCCTTGGGTGCCTTCTTTGCCTCCGCACCCTTTCCCGTAGCCATTCAGGAACGACCCCTCGCTTTCGTTGCAACACGCAGTCACGAAAATCACAGGCCACGAGGCACGCAGGGAATGGTCTATTTGGTATTTAAATAAGCGTACGTGTACGCTCGCCTTGTCCCATGACGGTACGGGACAAGTTCAGTGAGCTTCTTTTTTCGGGGGAAAACTGGCCGGCGAGAGAAGGGAAGGACCCCTTGGATATTTATGACGAGGGAAAGGGTATGGTCAATTAGATTGTCGTTGGTAAATATGCTGATCCGTGTGGGGCTAAACGTGCATTTCAAAATAAAAAGAATAATATATGAGAGTCACATAGTGATTATGAAAATCAAGATCCTAAGGAAAATGAGCAAGTCGTTCAAGTTTCATTCATCGTTCCGTTCACCTTTTGTCCTCAAAAATCCAACCGGTTGAAACATTCATCAGCAGAGACAGAGACATCCGGCAATCTTTCCTTGCCAATCGTTTTTGACCGACTAAAAGCACCATCAACCAACCAGACCCTGTCCATCTCATACGCCATAAAATCGTTTTCGTGTTTCCCTGCCATTTGGCCAGAGAAACGCAGCAGTCAGGCCACGCCGTGAAAAAAAAAAAAAAAAATGGTCAGTCCAAAAATCAATCCGTCCGCTTCCATAGAAACATCTGAAACGTCGAGATCGCGCGTTTTCCACGATAACAGAAGGGTAGGCGCCACCACACGTGCACCCGGTACCCCGATATATCTGTTTCCTCCTTTCTTTCCCTATGCCACCCCGT